TCTCTCTCTCTTTCTTTATAAATCCTATCAAGGAAGCAGCAGAGCTGTGTGGGCAGAAAGTTGAAGAAAAAGCAGCGGAGCTGCTTGCCAGTACATTCTGCTCAGCACCTCAGACAGCGAACAGCGAAGAGAGCTAGAAAACAACTTTCAATCAATACTGGACAAATACTCAGGAATCGGAAAACAGACGTGACTTTGTTCGGGGACTGATTATTTGAATCTGATTACAGAAAGACTCTGACTTTTCCTCTTCTAGACATAGTAAGCCCGTTCTTCTCTTGAGCTCTGCATAAATCTTTACTCTGCGCGATTTAAAAAATGTTCTCCTCTAAACGCATCGAGCCTTTAAACAAAGGCTCAAGATATTCAACCTTAGCACACACATTCATTAATGACACATTCATAATTATAGAGCGTGTAGTCAAGAAGATGTGCCGTGCGTAAAAGCGGTGGCACCATTCCCAGCTTGACGCACAACATGCCGGATGACTTGTGAGTGGTTCCAAAGTCAGATCAAAAGAGACGTTAACAGTCAGATCTATTTAAAAAAAAGAAGAAGAAGCAAAGATAGAGCTGACAAATACAGCACATCATCATCTGTGACTCAACTGCTTACAGTCTAATTCCTCATACGACTACACTACTGTGAAGCTACGTGTATGATATGGTCGGATGTGGAATGGAAGCACACCTGCCTCACTGGAGTTCGCTCAGGGCGCACGGTGCGCACACAAAGCTATAGAATTATCGGAGGAGTTTAATGTAGTGATTATTGGTCTTTCTTGTGCACGGACTGTTGATTGAGACAAACTGGATTGTTCCTTTTTTATAGTTCAAAATCACCTTTTCATCGCTTTACTTCACATTTTAAAGGGTGGGGGCTGCTCCGACTTCTGTCTCGAAAGTATGGGAAAAGAAGAAGGAGGAAAGAGTTTCTTCTAAATCACTGGAATCAAGCCACCATATGGACTGTGAACAATGGAGCAACAAGACCAAAACCTCTGGTATCCCTTTTCATCCGAGCTCAACTCCTCTACATCCTCACCTATCCTCTTCTCTTATCCTCGCCTTTTCAACATCTCCTCCAACATTTCCACTCAGAGTGTCCCCTTTCAGGGCAGCAGCACTCTGATGACCGCAGTCATATCCCTCACAGTCTTCGTGGTGGGTCTGACCGGCAACACTTTGGCGATCTATGTGGTGCTGCGCTATGCCAAAATGAAAACAGTCACCAATATCTACATCCTGAACCTGGCTGTGGCTGATGAGCTGTACATCGTCGGGCTCCCCTTTCTTACCACACAGAATGTACTCTCCTATTGGCCCTTTGGCTCTTTCCTGTGCCGCGTGGTCATGACTGCAGACTCCATGAACCAGTTTACGTCTATCTTCTGTCTCACAGTAATGTCCATCGACCGTTACCTGGCTGTGGTTCATCCAATCCGCAGCACCAAGTGGAGACACCCCCGCATAGCGAAGGTAGTGAGCGCAGCTGTGTGGGCCGTTTCCTTTGTGGTGGTCCTGCCAGTGGTCATCTTCTCTGATGTGCAGGTATACAATTCAGTCCTGTGCCAGTGAAAACTTCAGATAGGACACCGAAGCATGGTAATATGACCGCTCCTAAAGCGAGAATTAAGCACTGGTTTAATGGCCATGTTGTTGTTACAGATTAATAACTATGTT